ACGAATCCTTATGACAAAATGGTGCGCGTGTGGATTCCACAGGAAACAGTAAACAAGTCCTCATGGACAACGGAGCGCCGCTGGAATCTAGCGGTCCTTCCGGGTCCGCCCGCATCACCCTAACTCCTCCCATCTGCTTCCAGGAGGCTACCTAACTTGGCCGTCCGAGAACCAAGTGGACCGATTCAATACATAGACCATTCTGCGGTGCGCGTTGAGGTGCGCACGTGCGCTGTAGCGCCAATCCGCACGACAGGGGGTAAGGATGAGGAGGAGGAGGAGGAAGAGGAGGAGGAGGAGGAGGAGGAGGAAAAGGGAAACAGTTCGCATTCGATTTTGGGCACTTTCCTGGCGTGGCGCCTAGTTGTCCGCAGCAGATCCTCACGTACATGCTCCTTCTACCTGTCCCATGCACGCAGGCATTGTTGTGTACACCAGCGCCGCGTTGCACGCGGATGCTGTGGTGTAGACGCGCGCCGTGGCGTGCACAGGCGCTGCGGTGCACGCAAGGATTGTGGTGTACACAGGCGCTGTGTTGCACATGGTAGTTGCGGGGTACACATTACACTGGCGTTGTAGTGTACGCAAACACTGTGGTGTACACAGGCGCTGCGTTGCACACGGTTGCTGCGGTGTGCGCAGGCGCTATGGTATGCACGCGCGCTGTGGTGCATGCGAGCGTTGTGGTGTACACAGGCGCAGTGGGGCATATCGTCACCTACATGCTGCTCGCGTCGTCGTCGTCGTCGTCGTCGTCGTCGTCGTCGTCGCTCGTCGTTGTCGTCGTCGTCGTCGTCGTCGTCGTCGCTCATCGTTTGTCGCTCGTCGTGTCGCGCGCGCGGTCGCGGCTGCGGTGCCGGAGCCACACGGCGGGGGGGGGGTGTTACGTCATACCCCACTTCGCCCCCCCCCCCCCTCCCATGACGCCCGCCATCGCCGAACATAATGAAACGCGCTCCTGCAGCAGTTGGCCTTCGTCGGGAGCTCCGGGGGGGGGGCCGCAGCGGCCACCGCTGGTTTCGCCGACGGCTGGTTTCGCCGCCGGCTGGTTTCGCCTGGCTGGTTTCGCCGCCCGGCGAAACCAGCTGCCGTCGGCGAAACCAGCTGCTGTCGGCGAAACCAGCTGCCGTCGGCGAAACTAGCTGCCGTCGGCGAAACTCCCCGACCCGACCGGCCCGGTAGGGTCCGCCCGCCCGACCCGACTCGCCCCTTACGGTTCGCGCGTGCTCGGTCGAGCGCGCCCCACACTTTAATGTTCCGCCCGCCCGACCCGATCCGCCTGTTGTGGTCCGCCCGCCCTGCCCGACCCGACCAACCCGCCAGGGTCCGCCCGCCCGACCCGACCCGCCCGTGAGAGTTCGCACGTGCTCGGTCAGCACGTGCTCGGTTGACCCACAGTTCTCAATGTTCCGCCCGCCCGACCCGACCCGCCCGTTCCCGACCCGCCCGTTAGGGTCCGCCCGCCCGACCCGACCCGCCCGTTAGGAATCGCGCGTGCTCGGTCGCGCGCGCCCTGCAGTTTAATGTCCCGCCCGCCCGACCAGACCCACCCGTTCGGGTCCGTTCGCCCGACCCGACCCGACCCGCCCGTTAGGGTCCGCCCGCCCGACCGGACCCGCCCGTTACGTTTAAGGCGTGTTCGGTTGAGCGCGCTCCACTTGTTAATGTCCCGCCCGCCTGTTAATGTCCGCCCGCCCGACCCGACCCGACTCGCCCGCTAGGGTCCGCCCGCCCGACCCGACCCGCCGTTAGGGTTCGCGTGTGCTCGGTCGAGCGTGCCCCGCAGTTGTTAATGTCCCGCCCGCCCGACCCGTCCGCGAGGGTCCGCCCGCCCGACCCGACCCGCCCGTTAGGGTTCGCGCCGGCGAAACCAGCGCCGGCGAAACCAGCGCCTGCGAAACCAGCCGCCGGCGAAACCAGCGGGGCGGAACCAGCGGGGCGAAACCAGCGCAGTCAAAACCAGCGCCGGCGAAAGCAGACGTCGGCGAAACCAGCGGGGCGAGCCCAGCGTCTGCGAGACCAGCCAGCGCCGGCGGAACCATCTCCTGCCCCCCGGATCGCCCCGAGCGGCCGCCCGAGGCCCGGGTGCCCGAGGAGGGGGGCTGCAGGGCCATGTCCAGGGCAATGATGCAGGGGAGGGGCCCAGGGTTATGTCGGGCGTGTCCCCCTACAGGGGGATTTTCGACGAAAATTAAACATATTTTTAAAATGCCCCCAAAAAGGTCAAACAAATACTCAAAAAATAGTCCCCACATTATTTTTGGACTACGTTTTGATTATTGTATGGGTACTTTTTATTTTTCGTCGAAAATCCCGCCTGTAGGGGGACAGGCCCGACGTAAGCCCAGGGGTCTGGGCCTCCTGCGAGCGACAGAAAAGAAACACGGGGCCGTCTGCGCCGACGTTGGCGCGTGAGCTGCCCGCGTAAGGTCGCGCGTAAGCGCCCTCGTCTTGTGGCGTGCCGCGTGGGCGGCCCGCGTAAACCGTCGCGTAAGGTTCGCTGCGCCATCTCGCGCAAAACCTGTTTTGATCGTCGGCCAGATGGGCTCCGAGCGGATGGGGTCGGAGGATCGCGTCGGATCCCCGATGCGTCGCCGATGCGGCTCGATGTGGAGCCCGATTTGATTCACGTCGACGTCGCCGATGCATCGCCCACGTCGACGATGTATCGCCGGTGCATCGCCGATGCATCGCCGATGCGGCGCGATCTTCCGACCCCATCGACTCTGGCCCCCATCTAGGAGGCCTCTAAGGGGGGAGCGCATCGACGCTCAATCGCCGAGTCGTCGTCGATGGGGGGCCAGATTCTCCCACTTTGAACAGGAAGGCGCGGATCCACGATCAAGAGCCTATCGCCGATCTGACGGCAATGTATCACCGATCACAGGGGGGGGCAAAAAGATCAGGCGTCGAAGGGCGCAGATCTGTTGTTGCGACGCTGGGGATCCTCTGGCTGTGCCTCTGGTGCTGCCCCTGGCGCGCTCCCGTGCGCCAGGGAGGGGGGCTCAGCACCGATGCTAGAAATCAGCCTGGTCCTCTGAACGTGTTTTATCTTCTGAGGGAGGACAGCAGAATCGTGCAGAGCAAATGGCGGTCACCAGAAGGGGGGTACCACCACCTCCTCCTGGAAGTCGAGGATCGTGGATCGAGGAACGAGGGAGGGATCGAGGATCGGGGAGGTTGGGACTATTTTGGCCGTCGTTGGGGGTCCTTGGGGGCGCCTGGGGGATCTGGGGCGGTCCGTATCCTTGAGGAGTTGGTGACGCCCTTAGTGTTGACGACATGTTGCAGATCATTGGAACAGCCGGGCCTCTATAAATGGCGATTTCTAAACCCTGCGATCCTTGGCATCTCAATCTTTACACGCTGGGCGTTTTCCCCTGCTTTCGGGCCCTGGGGTACTCAGACCGATATGGATTGTGAAATGCCACGGGAAGATGGACGGGGTTTCCGGCTTCGGTTGTGATTTCTCAGGAATTAATTTTGCCACGCCATCGAATCGTAAGGGACAGCCCTGTGCGTTGATTAAACAGACCTACCCCGATCGACCTCCTTGCTTGGATGCGTTTGCTGGAGGGCTTCGCCTCTAGGGATGCTTCTTATGAGGGTGAGCTCGGTGTTTGGAGCAGAGTGGCTCAGAGTGGGACAATCAAACTTGTACTACATCTCGTCGGCTACTGCTGTGGGTGTGGTTTCACCTGGGTGTAGTTTGCGACCGACGCCGTTGGGGCTTACGGGCTACTACGTTGCGTCACAGGTTCGATGAGCCCTCGTCGGGGCGCGGCTTATGATGTTCCAACCTTCTTCAGCCTTGACAAGAATTTCGAGCACCAGCAAAGTACCGAAGCTCGAGGGTTTTCACGTGTGTCGGGCCCTGGGGGACACTCGTCCGACACTGTTTCGACACTCTTTCGACACTTTTCCGGGTGCTCGCAATTATTTCTGGCATGGGGTCCTGAAGCACGATGGGAGCAACATGAGGCGCGGCAGGAGATCTCCGTCGAGGCCCTCGTCCGCTCCCTCAGGCGCGGGTTGCATCAGGAGGGAACAAAATACACAGACACAATTAATCGTCTATCCCCGAGGACACATGGGAAGCATGGGCAGTGGGGGGGAAGACAGAAGCCCAGAACATGTGGGAACATATGGGGAATAGTTATATTTGTGTGTATTTATTTGTGTGTCCTTGGGCCCTGAAGTACGATGGGAGCAGCATACGGCGCGGCAGGAGATCTCTGTGGAGGCCCTCGTCCGCCCCCTCAGGCGCGGGTTGCAGGGATCTGCTGCGACGCGGCAGTCGTCTTTCGACGGCCTCGGGGCCCCCTCGGCCCGCGACGGCAGCTATGTTGTGTCATCTTGGTGATTGGCGCCCTTGAGGCTGCTCGGGCCAGGGCCGACGCACTCGAACACGAGCCTTTCGAGTCTGAGGCCCCTTTGCGGTGCGTGAGGACCACACTCTTTGCAGACCACACCCCTTGGAGTCGCCGAACATCGCCGGAGGGTTTCAACCCTGGCTGTGCTCAGAGGGCCCAGCGCTCCTCGCGGCGCGCCCCGCCGCCCAGGCCTCTGGGCCGCCCTCGGGCGACGGCGGCGGGCTCCGACTCCGACTCAGACCGTGGCCCTTCTCTTCTCCCCCTCCCCCTCCCCGTCTTCCTCCTCCTCCTCCTCCCCCTCCCCCAGGGACGCTCCACCTCCCCCCCCCCTTCCTCCTCCCCTTCCTCCTCCTCCTCCTCCTCCTCCTCCTCCTCCTCCTCCTCCTCCTCCTCCTCCTCCTCCTCCTCCCCTCCTCCCCACAGTACAGTACAGTACAGAGCTAAAGGCAATAGAAGTTCGCAGCCTATCCTGGGTTAAAAGTTGAAGGGGGACGGGAAAAAGGAAAATGGAGGCAGCAGCAGGCAATGCACCGTTAGACATCAGGGGTCAACCCAGAGCACCATCAGGGGTCCTCCCCCTCCTCCCCCTCCTCCTCCTTCTCCTCCACAGCCTCCTCTTGCGTTGAGCGGGCCCTCGCATCTGGGCCTGCAGCGTTCGCCCCCTTCCTTCCTTCGCCCCCCGAGGTATGCGCTGCCTTTCATGGGCTCGGACGCCAGCGTGGTGCGAAGCTCCCGGCGGCTCCTGGCCAACGTGCTGAAGGACTCTCCGTCCTTGCGGCCCCTCCCCCCGGGGGGCACGCGGGGGCCCCCCCGAACGACCCGGCGACTCGGGGTACAGGAAGGCTTCGGGGCCCCACAGCCGCGTGGTGACGGACCGCGTGGTGTCCTCTCGGGCCGGACGAAAGGGGGGGATTGGGAAAGGGAGGGTTACGAAATTTGCTGCATGCAGCTGGTTTCGGCCTCACCGAGGGGCCCATTCCTCGATACATGCCGCCTCCGGCGGCGGGAGGCGCCAGGAAAGTCAGCTACGTGAGCTGATTCTCAAACCCCCCCTTTGCTCCCCCCCTTTCGCCCGACCCGATCCTCGGATCAGGCGATCGCAAACATGGATCAGGGTGGCGCGGATTAGCGACGGGTCCGGCTTCCATGGGAAAGCGTGTATCTCCACCCCGCCGAACGGGGCGGCACCGGCCGCATCTTGGGCAGGTGATCCATGTTTGCGCGCCCCCGATCGGAGTCCCCAACGACCTCATCGCGCGGTCCGTCACCGCGGTGTCGCCACCACACCCCTTGGGGCCCCCGAGGGGGAGAGGATGGCAGAAGGGACGGGAGGGGATGTTGGGCGCCCGAGCTTATCCGGATAAAACTCGGGCCTGGGGTAATTCGGGTTTGGATCCCCGAAAAACCGAACCCGAGGGAACCCTGACCCGAGTTGCCCCTGATGCTTCGGGGCTCTGAGGATGTTCAGGAGGGAAAAAAACACAGACACAATTAATCGCTGATTCCCAGGAAAATGTACGAAACTATGGGAAGTGGGGGGGGAGAGAAAAACCTTGAAAATATGCGAAAGTATAGGAAATCCTGTTATTTGTGTCTATTTATTTGTTTGTGTCCCAGTTCCCCCTCAAGGATGTGCTTGTGCCGCCTGCTCCCCCCTCTCTCCTCGATTTGACTGCTCCTCCTCTCTGGGCCTCCTGGATGGGGTCAGAGCAGATGGGGTCGGAGGATCCCGCCGCATCGCCGACGCATCGGCGATGCGGCTCGATGTGCAGCCCGATCTGCTTCATGTCGACGTCGCCGATGCATCGCCGACGTCGACGATGCATCGCCGTCGCGTCGCCGATGCGTCGCCGATGCATCGCCCATGCATCGCCGATGTGTCAGCGATGCGGGACGATCCTCCGACCCCGTCTGCTCGAACCCCATCCAGGAGGCTCCTACCTTCGCCCCAGGACCCAGCCGCATCCGAGCTGCGTCCCCAGTTTGGCATCTACTTCACCCTGGCCTCGGCGGCGTCTCTGGCGAAGGTGAAGTCGGGCCTGTCCCTCTACAGGGGGAATGTTCAAAGATAATAAAAAATAGTCAGGGGACTTTTTTAAACAAATATATATATATATATATATATATATATATATATATATATATATATATATAAAAATCAGGGCATCTTTTTTTGAAACATTGCATTCATTTTATTTTTCTAGTATTTTTTAGATTATTCGTCCAATTCCCCTGTAGCGGGACAGGTCCGACCTAAGCGAAGGTGCTGGCGTTCGGCGCCCTGTGCCAGGCGCTCGCCAGTTGCTCGCTGGGCCGCTGGCTGCTCGTGCGGTGCCCGCGCCTCTTCACGTGCGGCGCGTTCAGCTCCCGGGGCCCAACCGAGGATCGAAGAAGTCGGGGCCTCGGAGACGGTCAAGCAGTGGCGAAGCGTCCCGGCTCGCCTGTAGCCCCACCAAAGGATGTTCTGAGAACCTGGTTTCCACGAAATGTTCTCAGAACATTTCTGGCGGAGTCTGTCTTGTTTTATCACATCGGGTTTATTCTCTAAGAACCTTGTTTTTGTTCTTTAAGCATTTGTAGGTTCTAAGAACATTTCGTGGTAGGACCATAGGAATGCCGGGACGGTCGGTCCCTGCTCAAGACGGGGGTCAGTGCAAACGGGGGTCAGTCAGGGTACCCGATCCTGCAGGATCCTGCGAAGACCTTCTCTGGCTGACCTGGGTTTGCGAGCCGTTCGTGGCCGCGAGGCGGCCGCTCATATTGGCTGACCCGGGTTTGCGAAAACTTGCATTGCAGTTTTGTGTGTTTCCTGCATAGCAGTTTTTTGGTTTCCTGCTGACCCGGGTCTGGACTGACCCGGGTCTGGACTGACCCGGGTCTGGACTGACCCGGGTCAGAAGATCCCCGAAGAAGACCGCTCTGCATAATGAACCTTCGGTCGGGCGTGGTCGTCTACAGGAGGAGCATTCAAAAATAGTCACAAAAACTGGGGACCATTTTTGAGATGTTTTTTGGGTATGCTTCAGATTTTGTCCAAAATCCCCTGCAGGGGGACACTCCCGACCTAATATTAACCTCATCGGCGGCGCGCTGAGGGGGGGCGGCAGAGAGGGCGGCACAGCAATCCGCCGGCCTTCCGAGAAGCGCTTTTTAAGCCCTCGCCGAAGCCACAGAGGGCTTTCTCATAAGGCCAGGCGACTTCTGAGAAGCCTCGCCGCCTTCCTCCTCCTCCTCCTCCTCCTCCTCCTCCTCCTCCTCCTCCTCCTCCTCCTCCTCCTCCTCCTCCTCCCAGGTCCGCCTAGTCTCCGTCGGAGGTCCCACGCCGATCCAAGCAATCCGCGCGGACCTCCAACAGCGTATGTCTGTGCACATGCTTCTTGTCCTGCAGGAGCAGATGGCGAACAACAGCGTCACCACCACCTTCTTCTCCCAGGGGGAGGTTCAGGGAAGAAGGAATAGATACGGCAAGTTCGCGCCGCGTTGACGCGGCGGCGTTCACAGCGCGGGTGTGCAATGTTGAAGCCGCTGGCGTTCCACAGTCGGCCGACATCGAACGATCTGCACTGGTGGAAAGCCGCGACCTCTCAAGGCGGCACATCCACGCGTCGACACGACAGGAACCTGTACCGTTGCCGATGCCGATGCCTGTCATTCGCTGTCGCCTCGTGTGGGGCCGCCGCGCCACCGCCTGGGCACGGCGTGGGATCCTGGTGAGAGCGCACCCCGGGGGAGGTCTGGTGGGCGGCGCTGCGGGTACGTTCGGCTGCTCGTGAGAGTGACCTTTCGCCTCAGCGGTCCCCCGAGCACTGGTTTGCGCGCTCGGAGCTGGGCCCCTCGCGGCCCCCTAAAGCCGCGCACCAAAAGTCACTCTTGCCTAGGGCCACTCTTGCGTGTAGCCGACACGCCCAGACCTCCCAGATGGGGTCAGAGTTGATGGGGTCGGAGGATCGCGCCGCATCGCCGATGCTTGGCCGATGCCTCGGCGATGCGGCTCGAGGCGGAGTCCGATGTTTTCCACGCCGACGTCGCCGATGCATCGCGGACTTCGCGGAGGAGGAGGAGGAGGAGGAGGAGGAGGAGGAGGAGGAGGAGGAGGAGGAGGAGGAGGAGGAGGAGGAGGAGGAGGGAGGAGGAGGAGGAGGAGGGAGGAGGAGGAGGGGAGGAGGAGGAGGAAGGAGGAGAGGAGGAGGAGGAGGAGGAGGAGGAGGAGGAGGAGGAGGAGGAGGAAGAGGAGATGGAGGAGGAGGAGGAGGAGGAGAGGAGGAGGAGGAGGAGCAGGGGGAGGAGGAGGAGGAGGAGGAGGAAGAGGAGATGCATCGGCGATGCGGCGCGATTCTTCGACCCCATCTCCTTGGACCCCACCTGCTAGGCCTTTGGGTCTCTAGGTGCGGCGGCGGCGGCCCCAGTTCGGGCGTTCCAGAACGCCGGCAGCGGCCCAGAGTCGGCCGACGTGCAGCGAGTTGCGCCATCGGGAAGCCCCGATCGGTCATGTCAGCCACGCGCAGAGGGGGGTTGGGGAGGGGGGAGGGCTCCTGAGAAGCACCCTTACTTCTTAGAAGGCGCGGACCTCATCTATATATGTAAGGCCGGCGCCTTCTAAGAAGCAGCCTCCTTCTAAGAAGCCCTCCCCCCTCCCTCCACCCCCTTGTTCGCGCCGCCAATCATGGCATCGCGATTCACGCGATGCTGGAAACCAGAGCACAAGGCGTCACGACACGAACTGGCGGTGTTGGTATCTCAGGTCGGCCCAGAACGAGGATAACTCACGCCGGAGCGTTCCGGGACGAGAGACCCAGAACACCTTGAAGCGGGCCGCAGCGCTCAGTATAGCCTACCCACAAGTCCGCCCGCTCTCATAGACGCCCTATTTATCGTCCCGATTCATCCGTATCCTATTTTCGATACGGTTCGATACCGATTTCTGCGGGCGCGATCCGATTTGATTCCGATTCCTCTCGCTTCGCGGGGTGCATGTCCGCAGCACGTGCAGTCCAGACGTTGTTGGGCCTGCTGGAAGCCTCTTTGGGGCCTCTTGGTGGTCTCTTGTGGGCTTCTTGGGGCCTCTTGGGGGCTTCTTTGGGGCCTCTTGGGGCCTCTTGGGCACGTCTTGGGCAGTCTTGGGGCGCTCTTGCGCCGTTTGGCCCCTTCGGAGGCCATCCTGTGGGCCTCTCGCGGCCGCCTTAGGGCTCGCCTCTTGGATGGTCATGGGGGCCTCTTGGACCGTCATGGGGGCCTTTGGGCCGTCTTGCCTCTGGGGCCGTCCTGGGACCATTTTGGAGGCTGCTTGGGCCGTCATGGACCTCGAAGGATAGAAACATACGATAACGCTAAGATCCTTCAAAAACCAATGGAAGAAACTAGGATTTTGGACTCTGCAGTCGCTCGTGGGGGTCCTCTTGGGGCCTTACTGGGGGCCTTTTGGGCCGTCTGGGGCCATCTTGGACCGTCTTGGGGTCATCTTGGCCCGTCTTGAGGCCATCTTGAGCCGTGTTGACGCACTCATGGACCCGACCCTCAAGGGGCCCAAATCGTTGATTTGCCATATGCGGGCGCGCTCCGATTTGATTATGATTCCTTTCGCTTCGCGGGGTGCACGTCCGGAGCACGTACAGTCCATTCGTTGTCGGGCCTCTGGGAACTTCTTGAGGGCCCCTTGGAGGCCTCTTTGGGGCCTCTTGGGTCCTGGGGCCTCTTGGGTCCTCGCGGGGGCGTCTGGGAGGCCTCTTGGGGGCCTCTGGGAGGCCTCGTGGGGGACTTGGAGCCCCGTGTGGGCGTCTTGGGGTCGCTCTTGCGCTGTCTGGTCCCTTCGGAGACTGTCTTGGGGTACTCTTGGGCCATCGTGGGGGCCTCTTGGGGCATCTCGGCGGCCTCTTTGGGCTGTCTGGGGGCCCTCTTGGGCCGTTTTGGGGCCCTCTAGAGGGCTTCTTGGGCTGTTTGGGGGCCACTTGCCGTCCTGGACCTCTGAGTCGGTCGAAATAGGCGGGATCGCTGAAATCTTCAAAGAACCATGGGAAAATGGTTTTTGGCTTCTGGAGGCGCTCTTGGGGGTCCTCTGGGGGTCTTCGTAGTTCTTGGGGCCATCTTGGGTCGTCTTGGGGCCGTCTTGGGCCGTCTTGGGGCCATCTCGAGCCGTCTTGAGGCCCTGTTGGGCCCCCAAGAGGGCCAACAAGCCCAACTCATTGATTTTCTATAGGTTTTAGTAGGTTTCAGGCCCTCGGTGGAAGCGGCGTGGCCTCGGGGGAGGGGTAGGGGGGAGACATGATAATGCAACACAGCACAATCTGCAGCGATTGTGCAGTCATTGGATGCATGGGGTACGTTGCATTGTCGCCTCCGCAGACCCGCCTCCGGCAGCACGTCACCTCCGGACGTGGATGCTCTCGCTTCGCGGGGTGCACGTCCGGAGCACGCGCGGGCCAGTCCAGTCCACTGGAGTCTTCTGGGGCCGCTCTCGGAGGGCTCCGAGGGGCTTCTTGGGGGCCTCTTCCTCCTCCTCCTCCTCCTCCTCCTCCTCCTCCTCCTCCTCCTCCTCCTCCTCCTCCTCCTCCTCCTCCTCCTCCCCCTCCTCCTCCTCCTCCCCCCCCCTTCTTGAGGTCTCTTGGGAGAGTGTTGGGCCGTCTTCGGGTAATATTGCGCCGTCGAGCTCGTTCGCAGGCTCTCTCGGGGGGCTTGTCGGGGCCGCCCGGGGGCTCTCCAGGGGTCGTCATGGATCGCCCTGGGAGCCCCTTTGGGACGTCTTGGGAGCCTCTTTGGGCCGTCCTGGGGTTCTCTTGGGCCGTCTTGGGGGTCCTCTCGGGGGCTTTGTGGGTTGGTGTGGGGCAGTGTTGGAGGCTGCTCAGGCCGTCATGGGCCTCTGAGAGTCGAAAAAGACGAAGGCGCTAAAATCATACAAAAGTTTTAGGATAATCGAAGATTTGGGCTTCTGTAGGCGCTCTTGGAGGTCCTCTTGGGGCCGTCTTGGGCCCTCTTGAGGCCTTGTTGGGCCCCCTTGGGGCCATCTTGGGCCGTCTTGGGGCCGTCTTGGCCCGCATAGAGGCCATCTTGAGCCGTCCTGACGCCCTCGTGGCCCCCCAAGAGGCCCAAGACGCCGAAATCATACATTTTACATAAGTTTTGGTAGGTTTTGGGGCCTCAAAAGAGGGGGTCGCCAGGTTGGGTCGATGGATGTGGCGTAGCCCCTGGGGGGGGGGTAGGGGGAGACATAATCATGTAACACAAGGCGATACGTAGCAAGTGCACAACTATGGGGAAAATTGATACGTCGCATTACAGCATCTGCGGAAAACGCTGCCGCTCAGCACGTCACCTCCGGACGTGAATTCTTCAGGCTTGCGCCACTTCCGCCGACCCCTCGAATTCTGTGGCAGCGAGGTTCTGGGAATGCAGGGGGGGGTTCCTTCTGGAGGGGCAGGGTCAGCAGGGGCGAGCAACAGTGTGAGGATCAAGGGCGTCTCAGTGCATACTTACAACTTTTTTTGTTTTATATAAATTTTCCGACGAGACGACGAGGCCCTTCGGCTCTGCTGGGCAAGGGTCGTGGGGCAGAGGCGGCGTGGATGCTCCTTGGACTCGTGGGAGGGGCCGTGGGGATCTCTTTGAGGCAGTTCGAAGGATTGCAAAAAACCGAAGGATTGCAAACAAGTGTTTTTTTGCAATCCTTCGGTTTTTGTTGCAATTCTTCTGTTTTTCCCAACCCTCCTTGGTTGGGCATTCGTTTTGAATAGAGCAGTGTGGTCGCGTCCTTCCTCCTCCCGCCTCCCGCCTCTTTCCTGCCTCTTTCTGTCTTGCCTGCGGGGGGCTGCGATCTGTGAAACTGTCGCCACTTTCGAGGCCTGCTGGGGGGCCCAGCATAGAGGGTAATCGCGGCAGATTCAAATTAGACCTCGCCATCCCTGGGGGGCTGCGATCTGTGAAACTGTCGCCACTTTCGAGGCCTGCTGGGGGGCTCAGCATAGAGGGTAATCGCGGCAGATTCAAATTAGACCTCGCCATCCCTGGGGGGGGGGCTGCGATCTGTGAAACTGTCGCCACTTTCGAGGCCTGCTGGGGGGTCCAGCATAGAGGGTAATCGCGGCAGATCCAAATTAGACCTCGCCCTCCCTGGGGGGCTGCGATCTGTGAAACTGTCGCCACTTTCGAGGCCTGCTGGGGGGCCCAGCACAGTGACGCCACACGCAGATTCAAATTAGACCTCGCCATCCCTGGGGGGCTGCGATCTGTGAAACTGTCGCCACTTTCGAGGCCTGCTGGGGGGCCCAGCACAGCGGGCGGATTCAAATTAGACCTCGCCATCCCTGGGGGGCTGCGATCTGTGAAACTGTCGCCACTTTCGAGGCCTGCTGGGGGGCCCAGCACAGTGACGCCACGGGGATTCAAATTAGACCTCGCCATCCCTGGGGGGCTGCGATCTGTGAAACTGTCGCCACTTTCGAGGCCTGC